TACTCCAAGAAAAATACTGTCTTTAACGAACAGGCTTGCGAAGAAGCCATTTTCCCCGGCAGACTGCGGCACGGCCAGAGTACTGAACATGTCTTGGCAAAATTGGTCAGCGTCGGAGAAGTTGAGTGTTGGCTCAGTGACAAACTTGTAGCAAAACCTGCCGTGCGGTTTCCAGTCACCGGGACAGCTATGTAGTAGGCTTACACACGCTCGTGTAGCCAACAGAACCATCGCTAAGTACAACAGCAGTCTGCGCTTGTTGGCCATTTCAGCAATCCCAACGGGTCGTGTCAACGGTCCAGTTGTACTTAAAGATGTGCGCGTAAGCTATACAAAAAAGGCACAAAATGCAGTGTATGGTGAAGAGGTTTCTGATAACCTCAGGGTAGGTTTCTGCAAGCTCTACTGTTAAATAACAGGCATCAAGTGCAACCGCTAAACTACACTTCAACAATCGTAACAAAAATCCAACGCCCAGGGATCGAGCGATGCAGTCACCATACGTAACTTGGCAACGGTGAAAAGGGGGTGTTGCCTAGCCCAGGTGGATTCCCTGATCGTACTACGTTACGGAGGGAGTCCAGGGTATAAAAGGTGCAAAATTGGACGAAAAATTTTGTAACCAAAATTTTCAACACTTCTACCTTTTCCAAGGAGCCAATTTCACGAATATAACTCCGTGCGTCCTTATCTCCACGTCTGGTGGGTTAAGAAATTCGACTCATCACCACCAAAGACAAAAACAGGAAAATAAAGTCGGGCGTAACGTTAATTCTGGCTATTGCTGTGGACTGTTTTCAGCCATTCTCCAGTGCAGTTCGTACCAAAGATTCTGTAGCGCGGCGCTATACAATCTTTGGTTGGTGCGGTGTGCCGCGCGCAACTACCTGGCGGACGAGATTCAGAGCTTCGTTCACGCACATCAAACTGAAACTACATGTTCTGACTGAAATCAGCGAAACTGAAGTCTAACCGAATCCACTGATTTCGACGCTCACATCAAGCACGTAACGCGCAACGCGTGGTTCTCAGCCACGAGTTGATCTCCATGCCGAGTACACACAACATCAGGCCGGGGGCGAGGCTGTGGTTTGCGTTGGTGACGGTTGGCCTTGTTTACGTGCATGTAAGCAGAGTCTCCTACGGCCAGTACGGGAAAGCTAAAATTCAGAATTTGTCCAATCCTGGCCCTTTTTTAGCATGCATTAATTAACAGGTGAACTTAAAATAGACAGACAAAAGGTGCCCACAAAATTCGATAGAAGTTAAGGGACTCTCGGCAGGTCCGTGTCGAGGGGAGAGGGTATTATCCAGCAAGACTTTGGCACATTTCTGTTGCTAGCAATTTACTCATGTCTCCGAATGATTTGTCCTATATTTTATATCCTGGAAGTCAGCCGTAATGAAATGAAGACAACGTCCAACCTGGGCTAGGTGTTGCCATAACCACAGCACCCGCGCTTAATGCCATGTGTGGCGCCGCGCCCCTCTGACGAAGGCGAGGGCGCCCTCCTCCTCGAGACGCAACGCGTCGGACGGCACGTACCGGAGAGTCCCAGAGCGGCTAGGGACAAGTCCGTTGGGACCGAAGTATACCGTCCCCCAAGAAAGTTCAATGATCTCTGGTCTTCGTTGAGATGACGCCTGATCAGATTGGCCGAAACTTAATGACGTAACCCGGACAGACCTCACTTGAAATAAACTTCGCCTTGACACCTGACTTATATACAACAATCAAAGGCTGAGTTCGGGCGGCATGTTCTCGTATGTTCACGAACAGCTTGATTTGTCGCTCTTGGGTCGGCCGCTCGAACGCCGGTTACGTACAATTGGTCATCGCTGGCAGGCCTAGTTAGTGACAAGCAACATGGCGGCGTCTATGTTGTAGTAAACTATTCGAGAGTTAATGCTTGGACAACTGGGCTGAATTCTTCCTATTTAAACAGGAATATTCACTTCTGTCCTGTGAAAAATAATTAATGTTAATTTTGCAAAACTTCCTATTCTCTCCAACTTTGTATACAATCTCTCTATTTTTTGCTGCTGTTCAAAAATCAAAATCTCACAAGTTTTTCCGTGTGTTCCTGTAAAACCCTGAAGAGGAGGTGGTGTGTGATCCTGTTCCCAGAACAGTGTTCTTGAGCCGTGTTTCCCGTCGTTCGAGCGCGAGAACAAGAAACCCGTGTCAAGAACACGGAGCCCGAACTCCACCTGTGTGACTAGACTTTGCCCGGAGCAGTGAGCCCCACAATTACTCGTGTGCATCTAATGCAATCGGGACCTGCATAAGTCAAAAGGGCCGTCTCTGAGTTGATATACCACTCACAACTCGTTCTGCGAGATAGCAATCCACTCTTTAATCGACCGTAAGCCCCCACAAGGAACTCTTACCGCACCAGCAGGTAGCCCTTCAACCCACCAAGCCCCTCAACGACACACGCACCACTTGGCACTAGGAACTAACCACGCCAAAGACCCAACGTACGAGGGTCTTACATACACGCCCGCTCAGTTGCTTGCTCTGCTCAAACCACAGTTCGGGGTATTACGCAGGATCGAACCAAATGCAACGTTCGCTGTCACATATCCACGCTCCCGTTGCGCCTTATATAGCCTCGCAAGCGGGCTGCTGTCGCGACTACGCCTGCGCCCACGCGCTACATGTGACCAAGCAGTGACTTCCGTTAACCAATCGCCCTACGCAAAAGGCGGAGCCTATGCACCGCTTTGGCTTAACACACTGTTAACTTGCTAAGCGTGCCTAACATCTGCCTCTGTTATTGGAGCTAACACAGCCACCGTGGTTTGGCTTCATACGTACGTATGGTTGCATATAATTATACCTCGTTATTGGGCAGAGCGCCATCTATAACTTCGCATCACGCCTATGCCTAGCGCCCTCTGTCGCGTCATACATGCATTGTTATCCCTTACATACCGTGTCCATCAGGGGTCACTTAAAATTCAAAAACTGGCGAATAAACAAAGAAATTAAATCAAGCCAATACATGTCACCAAAGTGTGGCGGTGCGCTAAATGCATTCTTGAGAAGTGAGTTTAGTTGTACAATTCATGCAGTTTCACCTCGGTGAAAATTTGCATGGTCTCAATTGCCTATTGAACACCTGCACATACCGAGACGTTCGAAAAGAAAGTAGTTCGGGTTAAGCCACTTAATTGGGCAGTGGTTCAAAACAGTCGCTTGGTACGTTTGGTCTTTCTTATTGGTTACTCCTTGTTTTGTTTAATAAGGAATCGTCTTGCAACATCCCACGGCGGATCTGAATGAGATAATGCCAAAAAGAGGCAAAATGTTTGATTTGTTTCGGACGAATTTCTGAAACCCTTTCACTTCCTCCCCACATGCAGTAAGTAAAACACAAAAAGTTGGCCTCTAGCCTCGAAAACAGCAGAAATATGAAATGGCAAAATCCTCTTAGATTTTGCCCCCCCCCCATTCCTGGATCCACCCTTGGCACATTTACAAGGCTTACGAAATGTAGAAGTGGAAATTATAAATGCTGATGGCCTTTTGGAGATCCCATATATGGATAAATATGAAATACGGTGTATGAAACGGTACGTGAATGAATCAACATCTGCTGATATCTGATACATTTAGCAAAAGTTACCTAAATAACAAGGAAATGATGTTCGCATTCAGTCGCTTCTCCGATATCAACTCAAAAACAGATGTAGATGAGATTAATATTTACATCCCGAATGTTCAAGGCGTAGGCCTACAATTTGACTGGGACCCTTGCACTTGCCAATTTCTATCTTCCTTAAAAGGAGCCTTCACTTCGCTGATCAATATTTTAATTTTTGGCAGAGACGTCCAAGAACTGTTGGAAGGATTCGATTTGTGCAGGGTACCACTTCCATGATGGGCAATGAATTTCGCATTGCGTTTGCGTCCTTTCATGGAAAATCAATTCTCCCCATTGTATCGCGGGTAATCTTTGCTTCCCGGCTATTGCCAACGGGTAAAGTTGCCCTTGACTATCAACGCTGTCTTCAGTGAAGCACAATGGAGTGCGGTGGGTTCAAACCTCGTAGTCTGAGCGCAAGCATCCGTCTCGAGATCCACGGTTAATTCTATGGAAACTGTACAGTGTGTATGCCTTTGTATCAATAAATTATGACACGTTCTTACAATGGGGGGAGGGGCGAGTGGGCATACTCGCCGTAATTCACTCGTCCCTAGCTACCGCCCCACCGTGTGTGCATGACACCTGTGCACTGAATGTTGATGTGTCGATAAGATGGTAAGTAATTCAAAATGCTTCGATTGAGCGTCTGCAACGATGACGTATTTCCACCACACAATAGGGCAGCGGGGATAAGCAAAGGACCACAAGTGAGGAAATATGTTAAACCACTTCCTGCAGGGGATTCCAGATCCGGACACGTAATGCTTTATATGCGTGGCCGGGGTCTCCGACCTCGGACGAAGGGAACAGGGCCTTGGAACAAAAGACCGTACTCGGAACAAAAGACCAGGCTGCTGGGAATTACCGACATTTTTCACTCTCAAAAGTGGAGATAATCCAGCCTTGTTTTGAAATAGTATGCCACGGTTTGGGGCATTTAGAGCGAGCGGATTACCACCAGGGACAAATGCACTCCACTTCCGCAGCGATAAGCCACACAGCACCGCTGCATGCTAATCTGGCCCCTATTGAAAAGAGGTCAGCAGCACACTGAGCCAGGTTCGTGAACAAAAGAAAGTTATATAGCGCCGCACACTCCGGGCTCTTTTTACAAGGCTGCAGGCCTGGCTGAAATTCTCAGGCGTCAATAGATTTTGTCAGGCAAGCATGGACCAGACAGTCCTTCACGTGTTTGTTAGTGTCCGGTAAACAGCTATATTATACGGTAAATGAAGATAGGAAGTTTTAAAGAATTTTGAAAACAGAAAAAAATGATAAATATCCCGGCCCCGCATCATCCACATTGATAACTGCCCCCGCAGGAAGTGGTTTAATTAACACTTATAATGACTTGTCCACCATTATTAGCAGGTGGATTCACAGAGTTCATTCTTTATTGTTGCAGGTTCTGACAGAACTGGAAAGATTAAACAGTGATTTACTTCATATACAATCTTGTAGGCGAACTCTCCTGATGAGCTAATTGCTTCTTTAAAAATACCATGCAAGCCTAGCACATATACGAAACATCTTCAAGTATTTTTTTTATCACGTCCAACAGATCTGTATACATGTATACATGTATAGTTTTATGGATGGTTTTGCTTATATATAATAAGCCAAGCAAAGAAACACAAAATTGATACATAGAGATTCAATGGAGGGTTACAACCACAAGAGTCTTGGAAAAAACCCTGAAGCACAGCAAACTATTGACAAATCCGATGACCAAAATTAGACGCCATTACAACGGGGCCATCCTCATCACACGCATGCAATGCAAGCACGTGAACTTCCTCCTTGACTAATAAACAATAGTCAATTGCTAAAGGGCACGCGCACTCAAATTGAGACAGGTGCATGAGTGTAAATGGCCCCTCGGAATGGCATCTCATCTGATTTGTCTGTACTGGAGCGAGCGTGTTAGCAATGGTGACAGTTCAGGGCAAGTTTGGTTGACAATTACATTTAACTATGACAGATGTGACTTGAATGATGGATGGTTAGATTAAATTACTCAACAACAGTACAGACATGCAATTTTCAACAACTGGAAGTAAGTAGTCTTATTATTTTCAGCATCAAGAATTATGTTTTCATTTCTTCCAATGACATTATAATTTTTTGACTCAAATAAATGTGAATGCCATTTTTTTTCAAATGATTACAAGATACAGTAACAACTTAATGTGGCTACAAATATACATGTATCTACTCAGCGATACCAATTAAAAATACATTTGAACAAGCAAGATATTTCATTGAATCAGTGTGATATATATACACGTGGTTAAATAAATAATACAGTCATATATTGGTGCAACTCAGCATGGAAGTATTCTTTGTAAACATACGAAAGGAATTAACTATATATATTTGGGTAAAATCCAGTCCATGTGCTGAAAATGGCTAAATTTGGAACTTCAGACTCTTAGGAAGAGTAACTTGGCATATAACGAGCAGAGCTCTGCATGTTTGTGTGTCTATGTATCTGAAACAAATATGGAACAAGCATGCAAAGCATGCTGTTTGGGGACAGAATTCATGTTCAAGTACAGCCCAAGTACTACATATGGCCCAATTTGGAATTTTGTGCTGGGACAAAAAGGATATTTCTCCTCATATGTACATGTAGGATAGCCACATCTTAGTATATCTCTGAAATGAACCTACGCAGAATCAACACGTTTACCTCTCATGTGTGAGCTGTGTCAACATATTTCAGGGGGAATGCCTCACAGGTGCTGGGCTAGAGCCACCTCCTCAAGGTACCTGCACCAAAAATTACAGTCATCAGTCAAATCATTTTATTTCATTGCAGCAACAAAGTTCTCTGTTACAGCAAAGCACGCCAGAAGTACGACATTAGGTTGGGTCCAAGGTCTTTCTTCATCACCATGATTACTGAACATTTTGCTGGGAAAACAGGTTTTCACTCAATCATTTAATTTTGTAACAGTTTAATGATTTTCTGTCGCAGCAAAGCGTGCCAAGTCATCAGTGCGACATCAGGTTATGCTCAAGGTAATTACTGCCATGGTTATTGAATGCTTCATGTGGGAGACCCCGTTAAGCTCAGAAACTGCAATTACGGTAGGCTGGAGTCCTTCGGCATGCTTTCCTATCACGTTTTGAACAGCGCATAACATGCAACAAAGCAACGCAGCATATGAAATCGACACTTAATTCTGTCATTTGTAACTGATCACCGGAGTCTGAACAGTCAGGCAACCTACACAAGCTCGGCGGTCATGTCTGTGTGCAAAACCTGTGTTTTTTTCTCCCACGGTGAACAGCTGTCAAACACACGGAATTCCAAGCTTATCGTCTGACACTGAGCAAAAGAGTACCTTTCCATATCATTCCATTCAAAGCCTCTGCCAGTGGGACATTAAATGCTCCAGCCTACTCTGTGTGGAGAGTGTACCCCACAGGCTGACGTGCTAACAAATGGGGGTTTTCCAAATCTCTGCTTCGTCTCCGGCCTAATTTTTTACCTCCGTTACTATGGAGTTATGGAGACGTGTTCTGCTCGACGACCATCAAACTGTGTGCTATTAGCCCCAAGATGTTCTCTGAGTGGTTTTATTCAGAATGAACATCATATACACGCTAGCTGTTGCAGTGTCAGAGACGACACTTGAGTCAGAAACTCGGCAGTAACTTAGTAAAACCCTCAATTACATTATTAGACCAGTGGACTGTTTCTTGATGAAGGGCCAGAAATCTTCCTGACAAAAATTTACCACTCTTGGTAAACTTACGTCTGTGAGTTGTGTACTGTGGTTCCACCGAGGACAACCCGTACTCCGGGGTTGGCCTGGTTGATGTTGCGAACTGCGAGGGCTTCCTCATAGGTTACCCCTCCTATCATAAACACGACAATGTCTTGAGGTCTGGTGAAAGAGAAGGGGTCAATACAAAACATAATGGTGGTTGGCAAAATGGACATGGAGGGGGGAAATTGATGCATTTGAAGGTTCATGACGTAACCATGATATTTCAAAGGGCAATGGTGTGAAATCCCCTACATCAGGCCTTGAAATATTTTTCGAATGCACTCTATGGGACACTTTTTAACTTTATAAACTGAAGTACCACATGATTTAATTTGAATCTTTTTTCCATTCCAAATTCTTAAAAAGTAAATTTTTTATGGGATAATATCCAAACGGTTTCTTCAGAATGTTTTTTTAAAAATGTGGAAAAAAAAGAACTGTAGGAATTTAGAATTTCCTAAAGAATTGTCAGAATTAGTTTGTCGGAATTGGCAAATAGATGCAATACCTTTCCACTTTGCTTTGTCTATG